ACATGCACCCATGCAGTGGACAGCTCGAAGCGAAACAACCGCACGCACACAGAACACGGCTGCTTGATGTAGGTTCGATCGTAGGCTGGGGTGTGAGCTTGAAACGACTGACACAGTTTTCATGAAACAAACTCGTTTGTGCAGTGAAAACTGTAAGGAGTGAAACTGCGAGTAGGGTGGTTTTGACTTGCTGTGTGATGATGTGATCTCTCAAGTCAACCCCCAGCACCAGATAGGTCGGTTCGCTCATGTTTCTCCCCACCCACCCCCAAAAGGTTATCACCTATTTGGTTTCCCTTTTGATATATAGTTTAATGACTGGTGTGCTGTTGCTTTGGTCACTTTTGGAAGGGTGTTCGAGTTAGTCTCGCATGTTTGCTCCTTCCCTCGATTGAATCGTATAGGTCGATGTTCGATCGAGTACGAACTTGAGGTCACAAGGACAACATGGACTACACTCCAGCTTCCGGGAGCCCAGCCCGTATCAGGCCCGTTAGGTCGGGAGGGCTCAATGCGATAGATCGCAAGTGAAGCCACATGCACCCATGCAGTGGACAGCTCGAAGTAAAACAACCGCACGCACACAGAACACTGCTGCTTGATGTAGGTTCGATCGATGCAGGGTGGTATAGGATGGGGTGTGAGCTTGAAACGACTGACGCAGTTTTCATTGAAAAGAAAAAAGGTGGCGTACGACGTCTCAGCATTGCGCAGGAAAAAGCTAGCGTGATACAATCCTAAAGAATCCCTGTCACTCCAAGGGTTACACACACACGCCCCCCGCAATGGGGGGCACTTTTCAGCTGAGGTCCAAACGATGGGGTGAGAAAGGCGAGATCAAGAAAAGGTAGAAACTTCCTCCAGGCGGAAGCTGGGGTGAGGATGGTTGGTGCGGTTGCCAGCTGCACAGTGAAAGGCCCAGGCGCCCCTGCGCGCTGTTATCCGGTAGGGTGTAGACCCCGGCGTATGGAAGGGAAAGGAAAAGGTTGTAGGCATGTTTGCAGTGTGTGGCTTGGTGTAGGCGGCGAGGCCGGTAGGAGAGAGCTGCAAAGCGGCGGGAGGCGCAGGGAGAGGAAGAACAAGAAAAGGCATGAAGTTCCCTTAGGCGCAAGGATGGTTGGTGCGGTTGCCAGCTGCACAGTGAAAGGCCCAGGCACCCCTGCGCAGGAAGAGGAATCATCCCTCTAAGGTCCCGACAGCTTCCAACGAACCTCAAAATGCTTTGACCGCTGTGGTCACCTTGTGCCATGCCAACATGGCGGGCGACTTGAGACCGCTCTGGTCACCTAACGGCGTGCCCGAAGACGGCCAGCTTGGAATTCAATAATCCGTCAAGTCTTGGCAAATAACTTTGGCTCCCACCTACGCAACGCTCGCTGCGAGCTGCTCTGTATCCGGGCAAGGGATACGTTCGACAAACCACCGTTCAACGGGTCCACAGGGGCCACTCTTCGGGGTCACCCTGGGCTCTCACTAAGAGACACACTTATAGAAATGCATAAGCGGTTGCCACACGATAACTTGGGTACCCAACTCCTGAAAAGAGCCAGAAAACCTACAAAGCCTGGAGGTCTTCAAGAGGAAGCAGGGCGAAAAGCTCAATGCGTGACTCCAGAAAAGGTTTACACATTGAAAGGCACGTCAGTGCTGGCCGGGCACTGATATCACATGCACTTGGTGCGGTCTTTGTTAGATGAGGCACACGAAGGGACCCTCATCCCCCTGCTCTACATTGAAACGGAAAAAAGGTGGCGTCTCAGCAACGCGCAGGAAAAAACTAGCGTGATACAATCCTAAAGAATCCCTGTGACTCCAAGGGTTACACACACATATATATATGTATATATTTACATATTGTTGTAAAAGGAAATACTGCACCTACAATTTACTACAACCCAGTATGTATTGGAGGTGCGAGGTTTTAGATATCATGTGCTATGATGCATTGGATCGTAGTTTGCAGTGCTTGAGTGGCATGTTTTGGAGATATCACAAGGTGACCTTGCTCACACTGCACCGACTGCGTATGGTGCTAACTAACACTAACTGCATTCAATGAATGGTGGAACTTTCAAGTTGTGGAGGAGCGGCAACCCGTCCTCGCTCACGCCAATGGAGTAGACGGAAAAGAGTACTTTTTGCGGGATCGAAAGCTTTGGTATCTTAATGACTTTGAGACTCGCTTTGAGGGGCAAAATTTTTTGACCTATGAGCACCCGCCGCGCCTGCAACTCTTCTCAATAGAATATAGCGTTTCGTTTGTTGTTTCCCGCGCCATGCGTTCCAACTACCATTGTGGCTGCACCGATACACTTACGACGAAATAGAAGAGGCAAGATGGCAACTATAATATACTGTAGGATCGGATACTGCGTATTTTGAAGATATTGTTTGCCCTCCGGGCTCTCCGTGTCTATCAAGGTCATTGGCGAATGACTTTCGGCATCTCACAAGAGCTGTGGTAGTAGCAGCTTCTTTGAAGCGGCGTTTGGTCTTGCCAAATCGCATGAATTGCAACAACTGCCCAGCGCTCGAAGCCTATAAAGGGACGGCAATGCTGGGAACGAGCAACTGTACTTTTGACTACTTTGCTTGGTCACAAAGCTTTTTGGGCCACCATGGAGAATTGGTAGTTGAAAGCGGACTGGAGTCAGATCCGCATTTCGCACTACTTTCAGCAGAGACAGCAACGTCCGACCACTTTGTTGAGCTCTTCCAAGCAGCATGGAAAGGTGGCCATGGCGGTAAGGGCAACTTCCGGTCCAGAAGGCTGCACATTGCAGACTTGGAATTGGCTTACAAAACTGCTCTTGAAGTTGGGTTTAGACCGGCTATGGTGTTTGAGTGTCGTCATCACGACTGGCCGGTCGGTTGGATGGCTTGCCGCGATCAACGATTTGTGCAAGCTCAAGGCATGTTTTCGCGCTGTGAAGCATTCCCAGAGCAAGGGGGGTGTGGATACCGTGGGGTGACGTGCTGTGAAGCCTTCTGGGGATGGAGTGAGAAACTGGAATACTTCACTGGGAAGTCTTGGGACTCTTGGATGAACAAGCTCTTTTCAACTCTGGTCCTTTGCGGGCAGAAATGGGCAGATTAGATACAGTGCACAGCATCATAGCATCTCATGACTTTTTGAATTTTCAAGTGTTGCAGTGGGTAGATTTGATGCCAACAACTCAGGATTTGCCATGCAACTGTGGTTTGTCAGAATGCGAGCCGAGAGAAGGCGCAGAAAGGGCACAGGGATGCTGCGCATTTGCAGGAGGTCAGCCTAGATGTGACCGGCGGATACGCATGGAGTCTGTACCTGAAATCAACACACCAGAAGACACCGAGTCTTTGACTTCCACTGCACTTGCTGAACTGGAAGCCTTTGGCGATCCCATCTCCTTTTGGAAGACTTGCAGATTAAACCGTCAGCTCAGAGCTTCAGATAAAACAATTGAGGAGTTGTTGTGGAACTGCCATCGATTGGCTACTCGCTTTTTGCTCTTAAAGCAGAACTTGGATGTTTTGGGTCGTTGGTGTCGCTTTGCACATCGTTTGAGACGAGCAGCCACTGACACTGCAGATTTAGCCTTTCCCCGAAACTGGCCAAGCCCAACTCTTCTTCGACCTTTCAATGCAGAGACTGGCAAGGTGGAAGTCCTGCGGACAGAAGATTTGAGACTCACCAGTGTAAATAAATATATAGACTTTTCATGACGATACTATGCGATAGGGCGATAGGGCAAAACAGATATTAACAGATACCAGCCATACTTTAACAGTTGTGTTGTGTTCGCAAGAATGTGCTGGCCCCAGGTCCCAGGTCCACCGCGGTTCACCCTGCCATTTGATAGGGATCATAGATACGCTGTGTATATACATGTAGTGCCGTTTTCGTTTTTGCTTTTGCAAGTTCAAGAACTATTTTGGAGCTTCAACTCTCAACTCTAGGAACTTGAAGCTTTCTCACGATCTTGCACAACTTGGTTTCTTGCAGCAGAAGTTCTCCAGGTCGGAGATCCTTGAGGTAGTTGAAGGGTTGCGACTGCTCGGAAACATCAAGGCAGGCGCTCTTGAAAAAGCCCTACAGCGGCTGGCTATGGCAGAATGTATTTTGCAAACACTCTATGCTCTAGGTCCAATCTTCAGATTAGTTTGTTTATGTACTGCCCATTTGCATATTTAGACTGATTTGTTTGTGAGAAACTACGTGTTCAATGTTCAATGCATAGAAAAATGAACACAAACTGAGCAAATTGTCAAAACCAGGCCTGAAATGGGACACCGTTGACACCAAGTGAGACACTGTGAATCAAGACTCTTTTGTACAAGTCGACATGCGCCAGCCATTCTTGCTGTTTTTTGTCACACGGCCTCGGCATATTTGGGTTAGTTGCTGTAGTGAGCGGAATTCAACAGCTGGTCAATCCTGGATTCTGGACTCACTATAGGCCGCGACCGCGACAATAATAAGCAAACAAACATAATGCCAGTAGCGCCGCGCAATGAGAGAAAAAGTTACTAACTAACACCTCCCTGAACTGACAGAGTGGATGTCTAATCTCTACTTGCAGACAGAAGCTGTTCAGCACCAGCAGGCGTACCAAGACGTACAGTAAAATGTTAATCCAAATGAAACACAACATGATCACACGAAAGAGAATATGACAGACAAAATCTGTCTGTCGAGTGAAGACCACATATGCTGTCAATAGTCCATGGTTGAATGATGTTGAATCACTTTCACATAGTGATGACGCCTTGATGTAGGTGTTTGATTCCATTTACGCTGGAAACCGTGCACGGTTCGTGCCAGAACTGAAGCTTGGTGACAGGAAGTGAAAGTTTCAATCCTTTCACCCTCCTTGCTCCTTGCAAATATGCAGTAGTATATCCTCAGTTGCGACAGCTTGGGGTTGTACAGTTGTACAATATTACTGGGCACTGTCGGATCCACAGCCCCCGGCCTGGGCAGGTTGTGTGTCTAGACATCATGTTTCGGCGGTGTCTCGGTGGTGCTTTGCCGGTGTATTGGTCATGTTTGGTGGTGTCACCGTGATGCTTTGCTGGTGTATTGGTCATGTTTCGGTGGTGTCTCGGTGGTGCTTTGCTGGTGTATTGGTCATGTTTCGGTGGTGTCTCGGTGATGAATTG